AAGCTGCTGATAACTTGATTCACTATCTGTGTGCTTTTTTTTTAAAAAAATATTTAATTTATTATTCATTACAATTTATTAACTTTGTGTCCTGGCTGTAGCCCCCTCGCTCATCTTCTCCAGGTCCCACCCTCCTTCCCTCATCTCATCCTATGCTCCTCCCCTAGTCCACTGATAGGGACTCATAGCCAAACTTTGGACAGAGTGCAGGGAATCTCATGGAAGAAAGAGGAGAAGGAAAGACCTGGAAGAGACAGGAACTCTGCAAGGAGACCAAGAGAGACAAAAAATCTGGACTCAGGAGCCCCTGCAGAGAGAGATGCACCAATGAAGGACCGTGCATGGAGAGGACCTAGCCCCCCTGCTCAAATCTGCGTACTTTTTAAACTTTCATGTCCTATTAACTACTTCTAGGGCTAGTGCTGATTCCAACACTGAGTAACTGCACTTCTATTCTATGCTCTTAACACAGCTTACAATGTTTCATTTCAGAAGCGTGCTTAAAATATTCTTCCCCTTTCTAAATAGTCCTTTTATTGACCCTTTGACTATGAAAAAACATCCATCATTACACAATATGTTTCCTTATTTCATGGAATTCCATTTTGCAGCCTTTTTGTCAACTCTGATCTTCCCCAATGCCCCTCAGAGGTGCACATCACCCATCAATTTTTCCAATCATTACTTATATCTAGATAGAAGGAAAAGAAGTTGAGTTTTCTCCCGTACTATGACAAGGTTTATAGTATTATATTATTTCTTAGCTTCTTTAGAGACCATAACATCACAGAACAAATTCTAAAGGCGCACAGTAACTTTCCAGATCATTGTTATTGACAACTCAGATTATCTTTGACATGTAGTATTTGGATATATTTTTCCACAACTCAGCAACTTACTACATTACAGCAACACCCATATGACACTGTCCTTCCTGTTCTCACATCCTGCGACACATTTCTGAAATGTACCTCAAAACATATTTCCTTCACTTCAGTCATTAACTAACCTAAATATTTCAGTAAGAGATCCCACTTTTACTAATTATTAACACTAGGCTTAGTTTTACACATGTGTGAATATATGACCATATTTTCTACATTAAAGAGAGACAGGAAGATGAAATAACTAAAGCAAATAATTCAGTTCCACAGGAAATGTGTGGCACTTATAAGCCCTGTGTCGATGTCTTAGTCATCTGTAAATTCAAGGAAATAATTCTTGCTTGTTTCCTTCCTGTCACAGATGCTCTGAAGGCAATAAGCCAAGCAGCTTAGGACAAAATATGTTATGACTTGAGCCATAATTTTACATTTTGTCTAACAGTTTAAAACATCAGAGGCTCAAACCAGTAGACAAAGCAACTTATTGTAAGTAAGGTTCTTCCTTTGTGAAGATGGACAACATGAAGCTAACCCAAACCAAGATATGACTTAGGGATCGTCTGCAGAATGTTAGGCCTGCAACTGGAACAAGGGTATCTCTGAGATATAGTCAGGTAACTGAGAACGTAACATATTAAAGAGACATAACGTGCATGTGGGAATTCTGTGTGATGTCACATTACTAGGCTGCACTTTGCAATATTGAAACACATGGGTTAGAGCAACACATAGGTTTAATAGTTATGACTTATTCCACATGTGTACAAAATCTTGACATTCAGCTGGAAAATAGATATGAGTGAAATAAAGAAAAATGTACAATAAAAAGTAAACTATCAGTCTCCCCATTGAAAATATCCTGCATGGTATGGACTACCAAAAAAGTAGGAGCTTTGATCTACAGTAAGCAGTTCATAGATATTTAAAGAATGAAAGTGTTTTTTTTTTCTTGTATTCTTAAAAAACTGAACAGCTACAATAGCGTATCATGACTTTCATGTGAAATCTAGTACTAAAATTTCAGTGAAAATACAGTCACTTCATAAATATGCTTCTTATTCTCTCCTGAACATGTGCCAGTATCTGTTGCTTGAAGAATTAAGATACTCTACTCATTCTTTTGTGGTATGAGATCTTAAGCAAACAATTGTTTATCAAGGAAATACACCTACTATTTAAAAATGTTATCTATGAGAGCCATTTAGATCAAAGCTAGATTTTGATAATGAAATGATCTTCAGGCAAATAAACTCCAAACAATCTAATTCATTCTTTTATATAGTATGACAATTTTAGAGTTGTCACAAATGATCAGAAATGCTAACAGAAACATCAGTGTTTCAGAGAAAATACTGGTTTTAAGGAGAAAAATTCATACCCATTTTGTCAGTCACAATACTGATTTCCTTAAGCCCTACTGTTTTAGTGGATGACCTCTCTACCCTCTTCACTCCACAGGAAGCATAAGCATGTGTCACTGAGCCAGGTGTGACTTTCTGCACAGTGATTAGGGTCTGCTTCTCAAGTGAGAATAATTTCCTTCAATTGCATTTAAAGAGCACAAGTTAGATGATGAGACAAGAGAGAGCAGAGAGAGAGGAAAAGATAGAGAACAAGAGAGACAAGGAGAGAGTGAGGGGAGAGGGAGGCAGACAGAGAGTGAGCCAGGAAGATAACCGTGGTCCTTGTATATCGAGAGGGTACAGTATCTGTCAGCCTTGTGTGCCTTGCACAGCAGTGTCAACTGACTTCTGGGGGAATTCCTAGGAGTCATGGTCTATGAGAATAAAAAATGTAATTCTCTCTTATTACACAAGACCGCAGTAAAATGAATCATTAAGACTGGCATTTATAGTAAACATTTTACATAAAAAATAATACATCTTATTCTTACAGATGACATTTAGTAACTGAACATGATGGGATTGTTTTATAATGTACATATTATACAGTATTTACTACAATGTGTTATTGTTTGTTATACATTTAAAATAGCTTAGTAATTCCCAAGTATCTACGAAATATTAACAGTCATAATAACTGTCAGTCACTGTTTTTCTAATTCCCCAAATACTTGAGTCCAGATTCTTGTTAGTGTGGATGAATAGTATTGTTTCATAAATACTGTCCTCAAAAAACTGCTTACTCATCTGCCTCCAACAAATTAGCTAAAGTTGTAACTTTATTAAGCTCTTTTATTATACACAAACATTCAGTAGTGAGCATCCCCAAATTAAAAATGCATATAACATTTACTATTGACCTAATTAATGCAATTATTAATTTTATTTATTTTAATTACTTTAGTTACATAACTAAATATATAAATTTATGTCTTAACTCTTTAACCATAAGAGCCCAAAGAGAGGAAAGGACGAGTGCCTTTCGTCCGGGGCTTTTCTCGCTTTTTTTAAATGATACTGTAACATAAGATAGATACTTTATAATAAACAGAGAAATATAAATATTGTGAAAAAAGTAAAATAAGATGGTGTCAGATGTAATTTAAAAACCAATATACCTCAATACCTCAGCTGCTGCTTACAGATCTTCAAGAGACAGATGCAGAATCCAGAATATCTAAAGGAAATACTAAATTAGCCTGAAATCTGAGTATGGGGAGAAGAGGTTTTTAACCATAACCTTCTCATTTTTAGTCAAACTTGTCTGTCTTAGGAGACAAGCACCTGTCACTATCTACTGTTGGCTCTCTGGGACAGCCCAGCGCGGCTGGAGCGCTGCAGACAGAGGGACAGGAATGAGGGGCTTCCGCGCAGACACCTTCAGCAGGACACTGTGCTACTGGAGCTTTAATAACATTCGTCCATACACGTGACCATCAAGCTGGGTACATTGGCCATCTTTACGATATTATATCTGCAACCTCGCTTTCAGACTGTTGAGTCCAGTCAGCACACTCGCCCCCCCTCTTCCGGCTGTCTAAAGGGATAGGCAGTCTGACTGAAAATGGCATGCTTACACAAGCACTCCCACATACAATATCCACAGGTGGAGGCACACAGGCAGGCTCACTCAGCCACTTCGCTGCCTGGGATGTGCTCATGCTGAATCAGCGGAAGCAGCTGTCCTAATTCTAGGAGATTACCCCAACACTTATGACACTGTGTGACAACATGGTAGAAACAGAAGTCCTACCCCACTGGAGAGACTAAACTAACTGGTGAAAATAATAAAAAATAAATAAATTGTGTCATGTGAGATCATAAAATTACTTTTAAAAGTGAGAAAAAAAAACCCCACAGATATGCCAGGTAATGTCATGGTAATGATTAAGGTAAAGGTTAGGAATAAACTGAGATTTGTCTCAGGTGCTTCTTGGATTATTATATATATCTGTGTGTGTGTGTGTGTGTATGTTTGTATGTGTGTGTATGTTTGTATGTGTGTGTATATATGTGTGTATGTGTATCTATGTGTATATGCATATGTTTGTGTATGTGTGTATGCGTGTGTGCATGTATATACATGTGTGTGTGCATGTGTACATATATGTGTTTGTATGTATGTATGTGTGTATGTCTGTATGCTTCTATTTGTGTATATGTGTGTGTGTTTGTCTGTGTTGTGTGTATGTGTATGTGTGTGTCCAAAGAGGATGCACAGAGGAAAACATCATGTATCTCTTTTTCTAGCAATAACCTGACATGAGCAGTGTTGGCAGTGACAATAAACAGCCAGAGTACTCAGTTTTCAGAAGTACTGATCCAGACCCTGTATGCACAGCTCAGTGCGTATGGTAAGCATTAGAGCTGTGTAAACTGTTGGAATTCAGTAACTACTCGTTGAAAGAAGAAACTTGATAAACATCAAAACTGCTATAGCTAGTTGGCCAACCAACAAGAACATTAACTAAGAGAACTGGCTGGTCAGTCTTAACCTATTTGAATCCAAAAAATATATATTATTATCAAAATAAATTGTTTAAATGGCAAAAGAGCTTCTTTATTAAATAATCTTCCATATTAACAGATCATTGCATTATGTGTCAGTACTTTTATTCCATCCCAAGGTTCATTTAAAACAAACAAAACAAAACAAAATTTTCAAGCCATTCCATGGGTGGAATCCCATCCTATGTCCACCATCAACAGTTACCTTTGTTACAAAAGAACTCCGCTTCTTCACAGCTCAGATTTTCTGGACCAAGTTCTGTGGGGAAGCTTTCCTCCATCGGAAAGTCTTTCGTGATGACTCCTGCCTCCTCTGATGGACACTCTTCTTCCTCATCTTCAATGGCATCTTCCAGCGGCCCTTGAAAGAGAATCAGGGACACTGTACCAACAACATTCTAGGAAGGTTGTGAAATAAAACTCCTCTGAGCAGAGCCGTTTCATTACAGAGGTGAGGAAAGGGAACTGCAGGAAGTCATCTCAGGGGGCTCACACATGCAACACTACATGAGAAACAGTTTTAAGGGACGTGAACATGCTCAGGGTATAATAAGTACTTGTCTGGAAACTTACAAAATAAATTTTAAAAAGTTGAAAAAAAAGACACACTGCATTTTTTGAGAAGACAAAGAAAGCAGACCTCTGAAGAGATGACATACAAAATAACTTCCGTCTCATTTACCTTCCCACCACAGCACTGAGCCCTAAACATGCATATATACATACATATATTCATTCATATTCATTCTGTCTTGAAGAGCAAACCTGTGCACACTATGTTCATTTGTTAGAATTAACAGCTTGGTAAAGAGCACGAGTCTCCCTTACACTGCTGAACAATTTTACCTGCGATTTTAATAAAGATTTACAGTAATTGAATGCATTTTAATTGAACTGAGATTTTAATAAAGTCTATACTTTTAGAAATCCATCTTAAGACTGGATTCCAAGAAAAGATTTCATTATATGTGTTTGAGGCTTGAAGAAAAATTACATATTTCTCTCCCTGATGAAAGCATAACCCTATTCACAATTAATTGAATTTTTTCTGAAATGAAAAATAGTTTTCTAATGAAAAAAATGTAATTTGTATTTATGTGATACTTTTTCAGTAATAAAAATACAACTCCCTTGGAAAGAATTAGAGTGAGGTGCACTACATTAATGGACCTATCTGACTGAAAGGAAAGGGAGGGCTGCGGTTGTTCAGGGGCTCGGAAATGGACGACATGGGAACGCCGTGCTGCTAAAGAATCAACTTAGCCTGCTCATTTCACTAAGTCTAAGCCTGCCTTTGCTCCTAAGGAAGTAACATAGCATTTTCATCCACAGAGCACAGTTACGATAATCTGCGCTAATCGTCACTCTGTCACTGTTCTTGACAGGATAAAATCCTTCCAGGAGTATGCTCCTCTTCTCTTCTCTTCTCTTCTCTTCTCTTCTCTTCTCTTCTCTTCTCTTCTCTTCTCTTCTCTTCTCTTCTCTTCTCTTCTCTTCTCTTCTCTTCTCTTCTCTTCTCTCCTCTCCTCCCCTCCCCTCCCCTCCCCTCCCCTCCTCTCCTCT